CCCCAAAACCCCAAAACCCCAAAACCCCAAAACCCCATTGAAATGAATGATTTAGGATATTAGAGAGAATAAAAGTTTTATATAATTATTAATTAATTTAGATAAAGAAGTAAAATGCATACGGTGATGGAAGCATTTGTAAAATTTTAGCCTAAGACAAAGACACTAAGAAAATTCTAGCTAATTGACAATTATTCAAAGGTAATTTAAGAACATTATAGCTCATTAATAATATTAATAACTAGGGTCGATCAATATTAATAGCAACGGATTAGAGCTTACAAGAGCTACATGTAATTAAATTTCACAGAAAAGAGGATACTGAGAACCACTTGACTCTATCAGAAATTATATACAAATCTAAAAGTTATTTTGGGGAAGATGTTTATCAATATAAGTAAAAGATTAAAGCAAAAAAGAGCAGAAGGCATGAAACTGTAAAATTGGCTTACGGTATACTAGGCTTCATCAAGTTTCTGAAAGGATATTACATTATTTTTATCACTGATCGTAAGAAGGTTGCCAAACTAGCAAGACATAGTATTTACAAAGTGAAAGATATGAAGTTGATCCCACTTTTCAGAACTCAATAAAATGACAAAGCCAATGAAACAGAAGCCAAATATGTGTAGACTTTTAAGGAAATCCAAATTTCAAAAGGCTTTTACTTTTCATATACTTATGATATTTCTCATTCTCTCCAGCATAATACACTTCACTAGATCACTAATGATAGAAAAACTCAGTCAAGGATGAAATTGATAAGAAGATAATAAAGCGAAAAGATAAATAATCAAGATATGCAGTTTAGCGACAATATTTTTCATGGATAGTAAAGTAGAAAGAAAGATTAGTATTAATGGGATGAAAAATTTGTTTGGAACTACTTTTTAATCAAAGAATTTATGGAATGCAAGTTGGTCCATTGCAAATGGATACTGCCAGTAATTCATGGCTATATTAATATGCTAAGTAAGAATTCTGATGTTTTGATTGGATTTAGATTTATAAAATTCTATGAAAAAGGTATCTTTGATCTTGATTGCGAGAAGATCAAGGTATATGGCAGGTCCTAGATATCTTAAGAGAGGTATTAATGACGAAGGAAACGTTGCTAACTTCGTTGAAACAGAGCAGATTGTTTACAGTCACAACTAATCATTTGATAATAAACCTGTAATGAGTTCTTACGTACAAATTAGAGGTTCGATACCACTTTTTTGGACATAAGAAGCAAATGCACTTAATCCTAAGCCTTAAATTATTTGTAAATTATCATTCCAAATTTATTATTCTTAGTACAAAGATCTAAAGGATCAAATTATTCAGCAACTAAAAGACATATTGGAGAATTATTTGAACGCTACTCATTCCCTCTTTATTGTGTTAATTTGACTAAAATGAAAAATTAAAGAGAATGCTTGGTTGCAGATGAGTATCAATATGCTGTTAAAGAAGTAATAAATAATGAACTTCCAAAATCACTTAGAATAAGATATCTGCACTTTGACATGAAAATTAGAAAAAAGGAGACTAACTTCCCAGCCTCTTTAGTAGAATATGCCAAGTAATTTGTTAGAAAGACAGGAATGTTCTTTTGCAGTAGGAATAGATTATCGGATGAAGTATCATAGATTACAATATAAAGAGGTGTAATAAGAACTAATTGTATTGATTCTCTCGATAGAACTAATGAAGGGCAAGAATATATTGGATTATATGTCTTCATGAAACAGCTGAAAAAAATGGGGGTAGTTCTCAAAGTCAAAGAAATCAAAGTTATAGACAACCCACTTGGCCAGAAATTCAAAAAGATATTTGATGAAATGGGAGATGCTATTTCTTTGTAATATGGAGGATCAGAAGCACATCACTCTGCGGTTAATAAGAAGAAAAATATCTTTAAGAATGCAATTCCTGAATTATTGACGTCTGTGAAGAGACATTACGCTAATAATTTCCTGGATCCAATGAGACAAAACATCATCAATCTTTTTCTTGGAATTTATATCCCTCTAGAAAATCCTAATTAAGAATTGTGGACTCTTACGGATGATTCAAAGCTTTAGAAGCATAAGATGAATCAAAGGTTGCCTATCGTAAGAGGGAATTGGTGGGAATAATTCATCAGAAAGTTTGACCCATCTCTTCCTGATGAATTTTAAATTGATTTAGAGAAACTATTCTAAGGTCCTAAAGATGAGAGCGATGAAGAAGGTGACAAAAATTTGACTTCATTAAGTAAATTCTCTAATAGCTCAGGTTCGCCTTACAAGACTCCGATCTCAGTGAAAGAAGATGATTTTTTCAAAAATGAGGACAAAAAATCTACAAATTAGTTTTCAAGATACTCATCTTCTCAGATTCAGATTGATTAAATGATATCTAATGCACATCAAAGCCTAGGGAATTCAATATTAGAGAGGTAAAGCTTACGATCTAGAGTTGTATCATCTGAGAGGAAAGTAAAAGACAAGCATATCAAGTTCTAATCATCAAAAAGTGTTTCAGCTCTCCATTAATATCATGCTCCATTCTTTGGGAGACAATCTACTGTGACTCTTTTAGAAGATGAAGAGGACGATGATCCATTTTATGAAATTTACAACTGCCATTAGCTCACATTTTTAGAGTCAAAAATACAGCACCCTATCAATAAATTTGATGTTGTTGATTTTGCAAAGGAAGATGTTGAGGATATGATAAGATCATAGTTAAAAGATCATGTGGTAAAAGATTAGAAGTTAAGCGAAGACTAGTATAAAGTTTTATACTAAGATACAATGAAACCACTTCTTACAACACAAGATCTTATTGATGATGATGAAATGACCACATTTGATCTTTACCTAAAAGTACCCAAAAAGATTAGAAAACTAGGTACTCTAGACTATCATACATTCCTGAGAAACTACCCTGATAATATAGTAGAGCAATAGAAATGGACTAGATTCACTGAGCCTCTTTATGATGAGCAAGACTATAGAGAATTCAAAAACAAAAATGATGTTTACAGGGATGTGAAAAATGAACTGGAATGCTACGATAACTATGTTAACTTTGATCATACTTAATTACCATCATACTAAGTAAACAGACTAGTCAATGAAACTTCTGAACTGAAATTAAAAAGAGCCCAAGATGAAATCTACAAGCTTCATTAAGATAGTAAATAGGTTATTCAGAATATGATGGGTATCCAAGATGATTAACCTCAATAGGAAAATATCTTATCACTACTTAGTAAGGGCAAGTAACTATAACAGAAATATGCTTACGACTTGAAGAGGACGACAGATCTTCTGTCTCATGCCTACAAAGACTACAAAGTAGAAAAGAAAAAGTTCATGCAATAATCTCAATCAAACATCCCAGTGATATAGCTGAATCAAGTGCCCTAAACTACAAAGAGTTAGGGACCACAATCTGAAAGAAGAAACACTAATAATTTCACCAGTGAGGTCTAAAACATTCAAAATTAATAGCCATTTTTGGCTACTAATTAAAGCAAAGAAAATCTTTTGATATCAATGACTGAGCTAAATGTAAATCCCCACCATAGTTAGTAATTGCCAACTACTGGTTCAATGGTAAATCAGGAATCAAAAGTTAATTTCTTTGAAGATGAACCTGATCTTGATATGAGCAGAGATATAAGATTAAAGGAGGCAAAAGAAGAGGTAAAAGCCAAAAAAGCATAAAAGAGAGAAATTATTATTGAATCTTACTTCTACAACTGACGCAAATAGTAGAGCAGTATCCTCACTCAAACACCATTCTTGATTTTATATTGATTTCATAATTTCTAAATCTTCTTTTGAACTCTTGGATGTATCAGAAGGGGTTTTGGGGTTTTGGGGTTTTTTGG